GGAAGGGAATGGATTTTGTCGGAAACTAAAGCAAATTTCGGTCTTTCTGACTATTCACCTCTCCTATGCTTGATCCTACATCACCTACAGCGTTTCTCCAATGCCCTTGTTGCCGAATATGCGCCCCCTGGGGCCACGAGCCCCCAAATGTCACTGCGATTGTGGAAGTAAGTAGCATGGAAGGCGACAACGCCGAAAATTCTTGACGTGATGTTGAGGTTCTTATTTTATTTCGATGTTTTTGTGTAATCTGGATGGAAGCCAGACGCGTGGCGTATCCCGAGCAGTCCGATTGATACTGCACACTTTCTTCTTCATCCACATCATAATCTCATGTCTCTGGGCAAAATAAATTGGTCTTCTGTCTTTCGATTTCTTAGTTTTCTCTTCTCATTATTGTCTCGGAGTATTCCTTGACTCAACCCCAAAAGCTCAAGAGTTGACCCTTCCCTGTTTGGGTAAGCAACTCGAGAAAATATCCTAACTTCCCCATTGCCATGCCTGGCGCCGGTTATGCCACCTGCTCCACCCGTGGTATTATAGTCAATCTTGTCGAGCGGGGGTGAGATTGGGTTGGTGAGGTACCGTCGTTAAATTTTGCCCCCGTCTCGCTGGTCCGGTGACTCGCCTCACGCGACATTCATTTTTTTTTGGGGAAAAAGTGTGCGGCCCACGCCCGGCCTTTCACGGTGATTTTAGCGGTCCTACTGCTCTTAACAGCTATCGATAACTCTGTCATTACCTGCTAAGCGGCGCACGTAAATTATCATTATTACATTTTTTACTACCAAAATTTCAAGTGCTATTGCACTCCACACTTTGAACCTTGGTCCAGTTTAGCCTCACGTGCCACCACTTAACTTCACTTTTATTTCCTCCATAGGTCAAATATGGCCCCTGTGTTCCGCCAAGGGATTTTTTGAAAAAAGTGGTCCGATTGTCTACTCTGACATTATTTTTACGCATTTCTTAACTACCCAGAGTCACAGAAGTATCGATCAATTCCTGCGTTGATCGATCCCTCCTTAGTGTGCGCCATGCATTCTGTTCCATCCAGAACCGCAGTAGCACTTCGAGTGCACTCTGGCCCATACTACGACTTGCCGGCCGATTTAAAGTTGGTGGTTCCAGCCTTCCATGCTAGTCTGGTAGAACTGACTCACCACGAATGAAAGGAATGCGTAATTGGCCTGTACGCGCCAGGTCCAGGATTTGATCCCCGTACCGTGCGTGTGGTAAGTTCACCAACTAACCGTTTATCCCAAGATTACAACACTTGATTGAGCTTCTGTTTCGGTCCTGTTGCCTTTGTCAGAACCCACAAAATTCGGGAAGCGCTCGTTGATTGATGCTCCTGACGGCTTACAGTGCCGTACACGCTTAACTTTGTGGTGCAGTCTGTGGCCATTCCGGGACATCTTTCCACCACACATTGTTGGCACAGGCTAAATCTCGAATTAGCCGAATTTTTGGGTTTCTTTAGAATATCGAAAAACTTTACATGTTCTTTGCGCTTATAAGGTGCTCTAGGTCCTGAAAGCCCTGCACAAAAAATTTACGTATTCGAAATTTCATATCGACCGGCGGAAAAATTGCCTTAGACTCTACTTTTACTAATCCTGACATCACCTTCCCTCAGAATTGGAATCCACATACCTGTAAGCCGCTAGAAACAAGCCGCATATTGCGTCTCATTTGTTGACTTTGATTCTTCTGTTCTATTTGCATTAGCTCCTTGGTTTAAATCTTGGAAGGCCACCAACTGCCCTTAAAGGCACAATCCTCGATGAGTTCAGACAGGTGAATCCTTTTGATGAATAGACGTAGCTATTCCACGAAGGTCGTGGATTTCCCGTCTGCTCGGCTTCAAACAGCACAACAATGGCGCCAGGGCCCGGCAAAAGCCGCTGCGACCGCTTCCATTTTTTTCGACGCCGCACCAGCTATCTCTTTTTAACTCGCCTATGCTCTCTTTCTGCTCCTCTAACTTCTTCCCTGCCTGAGCTCGCTCACTGTTCCCAACAGCACAATGTTGGGCAAGCATTCAATCAAGCATTTGGACGGAACCTTTCCTTTTTTACTGCGAGCTTACTTTGCATCATTCGAACCTGAACACAGTTTGATTCTTGGGCGTGCCTTGAATCCGCAACCAGTTCTGGTGTTTTTGTAGGCGCTTAGGAGTCAGCGCTAGGAGTTTGGGATGAGGCAAAAAGGACTTTCTGACCCGGTTCCTGTTGGCCCCATCCCTACGGCTTGTCCAAAAAGAATCACCTTTCTTATACATAACCATCTTTCAGCGGTCTCTGATCCATACGGGCCAAACTGGCGCACAGCACTTTTCTGAAGTTCGTCCTTCAGAACATTGAGCTATGGCATTCCAGCGCATACCGCCTTAACGATTCTTACCCAGTTTTTTTTTTCGCACGACATGTGAATGACTAACTCAATAAATGTAATAAAATATCTCCAAGCCTCGCATAGTTACCTATTCCGAGAAAAATGTCATTCACCCGTCACTCAAGGTGAGTTAGTTGATTTATTATTGAATATATGTCAACTAACTCGCTCCATGTATACTAGGTAATTAATGTTTTTATAGCTAGCGCTTAACTCAATTTATATGCATCAAAAGTCTCTATATGATATAGCCTCCAGGAACGAGAATATTGACTTGTAAACGAACCCGGGGTGTAGCATTTGCAGATGCAAAAGCAAAAGGATATGGCATTGATCGAAGACTTTCTGGGATGCGCCTTGCATTCCACTTCCATTAGAAATTGTAATGGATCTTGAACGGCGCTATTTGGCCCTATTTTAGAATTCGCTGGGACCCATCTATGTAAAAATCGGTTGTTTTAACTCTTACAAATTAGTCTGGTACTACTTATCAGGATGCGAAGGGATTGCAGACGTGGACTATAACTCAGGACTTGATCTCCAGACCGCTCGTGTGGTAATCGGTGCATTCGCCACTACACCACTTCCACCTGAACAGTTGATGTATTATGTAAAGTATTAGGTGTAGGTGCCCGTGGGACTACCACGGGATAGGTAAGCTTGTTAGGTGCCCGAGGCTGTTCGTGCAGTCCTAGGATGCTTCCGAACTCTCGACGAGACTTTAAGCAACAACTCCAGATGGGCTCATACTTCTGCTACTGGTGAAGTTGTAAAGTTGCGTGAGCCCTTGTCGAGAATTGATGAAGTGTCAATGAAGCAAAAACTAACCTCGAAAAGTCGCTATAGAGTTGGACAGGTGCCAATTTTGGTCCGTTCGCCTTTTGGTCGACAGCATTGTGCGATTGCGTGCAAGCTGTGGTCATGTTTTAAGAAATGCTGCCTGTTTTTGGTTGACTTTTATTGCCCGAAATCGTCGAACTATTACAGTTTCATTGTTTGTATTGCGTTTTATTCCTTCCTCTGTAGATTTGTTTGCTTGCTTGTTGCTGGCCGGAGCCAGCAATAAATGACGGCGGAGCAAGCGAACCCATACAAGTCGTCTGGCCCCGCCCCTTCCTTATTTTGAAGGGCGAGAAGGGCAGTCCTTGTTCAAGAGCTTCACCGGCATTTTTCTTCGCTTACTTTTTATTTTCAGTGAGCTTGCCATCCACAATTTCATTATCGACAGCTTTTACCACATCAAATCGATCCGGGAGTTTTTTGCTTTTGACCTTGTGAAAGATGGTTTAACATAATTCTGATAACTTTCCTGAATAATTAAGGGTAAAGACAGAAAGGACCCGACAGTTATAAATTCTTCTCAATATGCTTTACGAAGTGCGCCAATGTCTTCAACTTTGACATAGGAGGACATCGAAGAGCCAGCTGAATTTACGCGTATCCCAACAAGGGCTAATTACAGCGACCTGCTCCCGCAGATCACAGTTGGGATGGAGCTTTTAACGCGCAGTTAAAAAGCCTTTTGGCAATTCTAAATGGTAACGCCGAATGATTTTGTCCTAATCATGTTTCCGGGAGCATTTTTTGTAGTTATTTTATTTTCAACTTGGAACTACTTTATCTAAATATTCGCCTTATATTTCAAATCCGTTCCAGATTCTGTGTCACCGTAGAACTATTTATGCTATACAGCTTCTGTGGCTCATAACTACATTCAGAAGCTACAGTACTCCGCAGAAATACCGTAATATGGTTTTAGATGCCATCGTACTAACAGTGGCGCGAATTTGCACAGGTCGCTATGTGTGGTTGTCAATTAGCTCCCTGAGAGTTTACAGCTACTTCTCCTCTATCAACGAATTACCGAATGAACAACAGGTGAGTCCTTGTTTGAACAAACTAGGTCTGCAAGTTTGGCACGCTCACACACCCCGGCCGGTCAGGGATCGCAATTCAACTGAGACATACGTGAGTCGCTCGGGCAACCAACGCTTCCATCCCTTCGGGCGTTACCACAACGTTGTCTGGGAAGATAAAAACACAGACTTGTACACTCGGCTGACCCCTGCAGGATTGACGTGTGGCCACATCGGCAATTTCAACGCCATCTTGCGAATGCTACAAATGGAAGTTAGAAGCGCCGCGCGGGGACACTGTGCCGTCATTCCTAAAAGGGATTGATCAATAGCCAAATGCTGTATCCTTTACGCCTTATAATCTATTCAGCGCTTGCGGTTGGCTCAGAAACATATTATATCAGTACTTTGCCCTCTCACATTCAGAAAATTATAGCCTTAATGGGCTAATATCGAGGACTGAAATAACTTGGGTGATTAATACATAGACCCTATACCGCATTACCATTGACTTTACCATTTTAGCACCGACTTTCACCGTCGGCGAGTCGTTGTAAGGGCCAAATAATTATGTCACTATCATTCTGAATTGAGGTGAAGTGCGTGGCGTATCCTGAAAAACGATCGATAGATGTAGAACATTTCATACTTACTGCTCTATTATTGTTCTGAAACCTTTGAGTAAAATGAGTTTTTTCAGAAAATGTGCATTTCAATCTGCTATTGATTTCATCGTTGTGTTTCGCCGCCGTATCGCTTTTTCTGAGTTTCGGTGACTTCATCTCATACGACATTCTTCGTTGTACGTCATTCCCCACGATCGCTGTATTCGTGCTGTGCCAGAATTTCAGCGATGCAGGCCTCATTGGCTACGGGATGTCGTTTTTTCCAAGGTACGCTGAAAAAGTATATTTTGAATGTGTGCGAGTGAGACATTGGATTTGAACTAAGATTGATCGCTCTGAGATGCGCCATGCATCCGTTGACCCCTCAAAATCGTGGTCGTTTTTGAAAGCGTAACTTGGCCAATACAATAGTTGAAATCTGTCGATAGCTTATATAGTTTATTTCACCTCAAAGTAATATGCCACCGTCTACCGATTATGGAGGAATGAAGCGCGAGTACACTAGCCGGAATGAGGTCTTCAATTCGCTCATCGGACACAGGACCAATCATTCCTTCAGCCCGCTTGAACAAGGCGTCCCATTTGTTAGCGGGGTTTTTGATGATTTTGGCTAAATCGTCGCGAACGAGGTGGAAATAGGCAAAAGCATCAACCCATCGCATTCTAGTGGACTTTTCTCCGCCACTCCTCTCCCCCCCCCACCTCCCCCTCGTCGGTGGCGTTTTGGAGACAAATTGGTTGGAGTTGGCTGTGCGGGGATGTCGATTGGTCGCAAAATCAATTACCATAGAAGCAGCCATGATGGTGAGGATGGTAGTTAGGAATTAGGGGAGGAAGGTCGTATTGCTGGCGCCTCCTTGTTTCGTGTGACAGATGGTGGTGGAGGGGGTCGCATGAGACCCCTTACCCGGGTTTGCTAAAATTTCAGAAAAATGGAACACGGACGGTTAACTGATCGGGCAACACTTGTAGCTGTGCCCGGGCTCGAGGGGCGGGTATTATGGTATGGTTCTGAAAAGCGTGGTTCTGGTTCCCGTGATCTTTCTGCTTCCTAAAATATTATAAGGCAGAGACGGCGTAGCAGCAAGGCGCGCAGCCTGTCGCATTGTCGCAGCCCCAAATTTTCCCACCCCACAGATCTTTTGAGCCTCTACAGTATTCGGAGTTGTGCCCAGTGCCAGTGATCATGCATGAGGGGAACACTGGGATCTATCGCCGCTTCCTGTAAGTGTGTTTTAACATAATACGCATTCAATCGACTTCACGATTTCGAATGAAGGTCGAATGCATGGCGCATTTTGGAGAGCTGTTTTGATAATCTTTACCCGTTCTGAAAGACCATCTACACACTTGTGATCAGTTTCGAACTTCCAGATATTGTGGGATGTCAAAAACGCGAACTGTTTATGAAGCGACCTAAACAGGATCTGTTTCTGAAGAACCTAGTGACCGCTTGTAGAATAAATTTTTCGAGTTTTTTCAGGTTCAAATCACTTGTAATTGTGATGGTCACAATGCTCGGTGCGATGTTTGGCGCTACAGCGGAGTTGCTGTTCACCTACAGTACCAAGCCAAAGATTCCGCCATGTCATTCGTCGTTCGTCTCATCGAGAGACGGTATAGTGGCTGTTCTCGTCATGCAGCTACTTCTATTTATTGTCCTGGTATTGCTGCTCGTTGCAGTGTTCATGCATAAACACAAAGGTACGTGAAATTATTTTCCATAATTTTTGGTTAAATCCAGTTTTTAAGGTCTATAGCTTACTAAGCACGGAGTCTGTTTGAACATCCCTCGAACAAAGGACTTACTACGGTCATTAGCGTATGACGGTCCGATAAGAACCACACCTCTAATTTATGTTTCCACTCCCTTTTCCCGCTCAATATCGATTGATCAGGGCGCGTGCTACGCGTATGTGCTAATGGGAGCGTTCACACTTTCGCAGCGCGATTTAGGGTCAACGGTTGCATTGTAGGAACTTTGGAGAACCTGCGAAGGCCCGCTCCTAGAGGTTATTCCTAGACGATTCCCACCTCATCCAGACCTTCCTGAGCTGAACTACATCGTACCTAAACCTTGCCTTCCGGTCCTCTGCTGGAGTATATGCAGTAGTTCTCGTCCCCCCCCCCCCAGCGCTCCCATGAACCTTCCAAAAACCGCAAACGCAACCTCCCAACGGAAGGCTGACCCTGGGCCTCACTCTCCGAGCCGAAGGTAGCTGTTTCTTGGAGCATACATGGAAGATGCACCAGTCATCATTGAGAACTACTCAACTATTTACTTTTCACCGCCGCTGGCTCAAACAAGCTTAGCCAATCGATACGTATCCTTAAAAATTATGGTCCCACTTGTGCGCTCGACCCGAACCCATTTTGGGAGCAATTTTTGTGTTCCTAACGCCGGTTTATTACTGAATCCTCATATATCACTAATGAGAACTTTGTTGGGCCCTCATTTTGGGACCACATTTTATCGCACAAACTAGAGCTCCGACAAACATCGCCGGTGACATACATCACGAGTTATCCGTGCATAGATTGGAAATTTGGTGATAAAATTCACCATTATCCTTTTGTACATGTGAATGTCTTTAAAATCAAGTTATCTAGGTAAAGTGCTCGTTTTCAGAAGAAGAGGATGAGCGGGTAAATGCCGGCCATAAGTCTGCAATGAGCATTCTGCTGGTCGGT